GCATTTGAGGGTTTTATGGAATATGAAGTAATGGAACATTTATTTAGATATACATTGCAACGTCTCGCCTAACTCATTTTTTGGAGGAAATGTCTTATATTCATCTAAAAGGCGTTTCAGGCAATTAGTCACAATTTTAAAACAATATAACTTCAAGTATAGGAGCTGTTACTATGACTCTCATCATTACGTAGAGCAGAAATCAAAGTATTTTTCTGTGCATTTGGCAATCCTGGCTTGACGTCAATCACTTATAAAAAATGGCGAACAACTCATTAACATCTGTGCAGAAATTGAAAGTTGGTTGTGGCTTTTTTTATTAGTGCAAATCCCTCATCATCGGCTGAAGATGCTTTCGCAAGGAATTCAAGTGTTCTCGTGAACCAAGTGCATGGGTCAGAATTCGAAACATCTTACAATTCCGAGAAACCGGAAGTGTTACCTGAAAGTTCAAGGGCGATAGTCAACATCGCAAAGCGATCTGCAGTAGTTGTTGATGACATTCGCCATAAAGTGATGGACAGCCCAAAGAAAAAACCTTGCAGCGGCTGTCAATTTAAGTAGATTTTCCATTGACAACGGTTTGGATCTTCAGGTTTTTTCTTACAAAACCCATATGCAACAACAACCGATTCATCAGTCAAAGCAGAGAAGAGAGCTCTGTATTGAATTCTGACAATTACTTTAAGGGAATCCATCTCTCCTCGATGCATTGTAGTATAGCAATGAGGCCTACTTTCATCTCACTGGAGATATCAGCAGGAAAACTTGAGATTTTGCGCCAGGGATAATGCTTAAGAAATCCTCGAGTCTTTCCTGCATCATAAGGAAGTCTTGTAAAAGCAAAGGATAATCGGGCCTCCTTTTTTGAGAATTATGTATCCTCAAGGAATTACTTGAACATGCTGCCAACTTCTTTTCCTGCCCTAGTTGAGAAAATGGCGGCTGGGCCTAAGCAGACTGTCGTTTCAGCAGGATGGTGCTCGTCCACATACGACGCAGGATGTTCTTTCTTCCACGAAAAATTTCGTGAGCGCGTCACCCAGGCAAAAATGTTCAGTAAAATCTTACAGATTTCTATGAATATTTTTATATAGTTCTATAGATCTATAGATAAATATAGTTCACCCTTTGAATAATATTTTGAAATGGTGACTGAACCACCCTGTATTTCCTCCTAGTAGAGAGGAATACTTGACATTATGGAATGGAACGTTCTGATAGTGAATATATGGAATAAGGCTGCATCAGTAGGCTTTGGTAGCGCCCATTCCTTTCTTCAACACCTCCCCTCAGCAAAATGCAACTTCCTCGTGTTCCTTTCTGAGAGCATCAACAGGAAGGAAATTTAGCACACTTATTCCTCTCTCACCACAGAATCACTCCAGCAAATGTGAAGCTCCATCTCCCCGTGGTTGTGGAGAACACTGAATCTCGTTTTTGGAAGATGTGAATTTCATTCCATTTATTTTTTCTCATCCCCCCCCCCTAGGTAACCACACCTGGGGAGTTTTCGGAGGAAAGAGACCAACTATAAGAAAGATATTGACTCGTAGGAAAGTGACTTTTTTGCTATTTGCGATGCTCCATTTCACGATGAAAATTAAATTAGCTGTTGTTCAATTAGGCTAAGAGTGGTCATGTGAGTTTTATTTAAATCTACTATAATGTGCAATTTATGAAGCTAAGGAATGTTTTATTCATCTATTTCTTGCTGGAAAAAGGTCACTTTCCTTCAGGTCTTTTTGGCTCTTTCTCAGGAGTACATGACCAAATGAAAGCAATTCAAAGGGGAATACTTTTAAATTCGATTCCTTTTTTCATGGGGTGTATCGCGTACATTTCCGTCGGCGATTTCCTACGATTCGAACGAAGATGACAAATGAATCGTGCGTTTCTTTGGACTGTAATTTGAATGCTCCATGAATTTAATGCCAATGCACTAGTTCTGTCTAAATAAATACTTGAAGAAACTCAATGATGCGGAAGAGCTGGGTTCCCCGGACAGAGAAAACTTTCCCAAGAAAAATTTTCCGTCAGGTCTTAATGAGATTTCCGCCGTTATTGTTACCATTCAGTCCAGATTCCATCATTTGTGGGCCCAGAAGTATGTGAGCGTCGTTCTCATTAAATTACGCGAATGATGATCCGTTTTCTAGCTGTGACCCGGTCCCTGAAACGTTGCAAACCGTTTCCTATTTTTCCGATCATCGCATGAAAAAAGCATACATGGGGTAAGTTCAACTTCTAGATACTCCTTTCAGCGAGAAAAGGGGCATAACGCCGAGCCAGGGTCACTAGGGGGGGCGCAGCGTAAAAAGTTTGAGAATCGCTGTTATAAACTTTCACGTGTTTCACTGCAATTTTACCCCAGGTAGAGCCCTGCACGGGCCAATTTTCCGGTACCCGATAGGCCCAATTCAAATCAAAAGAAAAAAAACCTACAAGAATGCTTCACTTTCGAGAATTGATAGTTCTGAATGTTGTGCTTCACTATCGCCATCGAAACAGTCTCTAGAGTCAGGTAATACAGATTTCCTTTTTCTGGTCCAAGGCCATACTTCTCTAGGAGCCATTGGAGTATTGGTCACTGTTCAGATCGTTCCCTTCTCTCTAGTCCAAAGGAAAATGGTGTGCAGAAGTTTAGCTGAAAAGGGAGAGTCTTTCTGACAATATTAATTCCTACGAGGTATAGCAAAATGTAAGAGTGGACTTGAAATAAGTACTGTATAAGTTTCAAACATAATACATTACAGGAGCCATTAAATCATTTAATAATAGCCGACATCATATAATCATATAATAATAGCGAATTCCCCCTTCTCTGCCTGCCTGAGGCTTACGCGGGTCGATTTTTCCGAACCTGACATGAATGATCCGTTTCGAATCGTGACCCCACCCGACCTGAAACTTAATAGCAGGACTCAGCTTCAAGGACCCGACCCGCGGGTCCTCTCCGGTCGAACGGGCCGACCCACAACCTGCTCAAGCCACTAAGCTTCATAGCTCCAGGTCTCTTGGTTCAACTTTTTTCTTAGCAGCTCTGCCAACGCTGTCAGCATTCCAGGACATCATATATGTTCAGCGCTTTCATAGTTCACTACGTTCCGCGGGCAGCTGCTTGCCTGAGATTAATGCCACTGAATGATATGATCCTGGCAAGCACTCATGGAAAGAGGGCCTTTTTTCAAGCAGCTGTGAGCGGCTGGCGATAAAGACATGCCCTCAGATTGCGTATTCGCCGCACCCAACTGGAAAGTTGTTTTTCAACAAACCTGCACTCCCGTTTCGCACGGGACTTGGTCATATCGAGCCGATCCGCATCTAGTGTAGGCCTCAAAAGCATTCCCTGTTCTTCATCCAATACCCAGGAAATTCCAACGAAGTGTCTCGCTTGAATGCTATGAGGAGGAACTCGCGAACAATTTTCATGCAGGCAATTGGAGATTCGTTAATGACGGAGCGCATATCCTGATATCCATGCAAAAACTCGGTCATTTAAAATTCGAAAGTTTCATCCTTAAAATTTTTTGAATGCCAAGAGACAGAACTCAGGGATTCGTTATAAAGGATCTCTGATTGCAGAAGGCATCCAAAATTCGCCATCTGTTACGTGGGAGTTCCAATATTTTACAAGAGCTATCCTGCCGCTTGGTACAGGATGTAGTTAAATTCCCCTGATATTTCCTATCCGAAAAGAACCAATGCAGAGGCACTCCAGGGATTGATGGCAAAGGAGCAACGTGAGGTGTTTGAAGTAAGAGCATACTCGAAGGTGTGTTCCACAGCGATGAAACCTTTGCCTCCAGCCCCCTCGCATCATGATGTCCTGACAGAGAACTTGCTCTGCTTCTAGTCGCTGGAGAGTGAGAGCGAGATTGCGTCATTCAAATATGGAATCTAGTTCGTATCGTCTACCTCAATGACGCATCTTCTGTGGATAATAATGGAATAAAGCTGTGGAGAGTACAACCGCTGTTGGATTTGGTCAGGAACAAATGCTCGCGCTCTTTTCGCCTAAGAGAATATCGACGAACAGAGGATCCCCTTTTCTAGGCGAGCGCCATCGTGGCAATATTTTCCAAACTCGAGAGGGTGTGAACAGCTTTGTTCTGGATACGACCAATGGCCTCTTTATTGACATCATAATCTCTCGTGGACAAGGGGTGTTTCCTTCACCAGCTGGAAGAAGTTAGTTAGCCAAATATCCATACGGCCAACGAGCGAGGGCTGTTATCACCAGTTCTAGAACATTGCAGGCTCAATACTGTGGTCTACTTGGATCACTTTCTCACGTTCTCTGCTCTGTTTGAATATCTTTGTGACAAAGGAATCGGCCGAAGAAATTCTCCTTTCCGTGTTACTTTGAATCATGCGGGTTTTGAACTTGGTTTTAAATGTGGAGTCGGATAAAAGCATTCGTAACACTTTTAATGCCACGCAGCCGATTCATAGGCGATATATCACGATATACAAAGACGATATATCGTTCCCCTGGCGCTAATATGCTCAATATAATCTATTGGGTCACTCCATCCCATTCTCCTGAGAAAAGTTATTTTCCGATTTCACTTATAAAGTATTTCACATTATTTATATGAATAGATATTGGCAATAGGGGAGCTTGCTAACTTTTAGGAATGTTTCTCGGTATGAAATACAGGCGGTACAACTTGTACATATTAAGTTCATATTCATTATTTTTGGAAAAAATGAACTTTTCGAACCCTTACATCGGCAAAATGTGCTAGGGTGTCCCGGAATTTCCTTTCAGGGTCTTTACCAAAGAAATTGTAAAAAGGCTATTGAGGGACCGTGTTTGACGCCAGAAGGTACTCTGACGATGTTGGAGGGTGCTGTCTATGAGGAAAACATGTTGGTAACTTTTTTTGAGGTGAGATGGAACGATTCAGACAGGGATGTAGAAAATATATTAGAGATAGCCTGAAATATGCCCTTTGTTCTGTACGTTATGAATGTAGGCTAATAGGAATTACTATTTATTGCTGACTACTGGGAGCTCCCTGAGACCTGGGGAAGTTACACTTAGCAAGGCATGCATTTCGATGCCCCGTTTTCTTGAATCCTATGCAACAACAATCGCTAGGAAACCTTTGGAACTTTTAAGTACGCTTCTTGATTAAACTTTCGACTTTCTGCGCTAAATCTAAAAGGCAAGGCTTTGCTGGGATTTGAACTACAATCATCGAAGTGGAATTTATTATTCATTGCTGAAAATACGGGCAAAAGAACAGATCATTGACTACAATTTAGAGATCTCAGAAACGCCCATTATGAAACGATGAGAGTTTATAAGAGGAAGATAATTCGGCAAAATGAGGACGCGTACACATATTTTAAGTTCATTCACATAACATTTGGAAGCAAAATAGATCTACGGGATTCACCTGCTTTTGCACTAGGGATTAGCAGCTTGTCGTACTGTTCTGGAGGACCTTGTGGAGGGGCCCCAATAGGATCGGACGAACTTCCTGGCTGTTGCTGATCACTTGGTACTTGCTGTCCTCTCTGCGGTTGCAACTTATCTGGTACTTTTATCTTTTCTCGTCCTTGAGTCAATATATCTCCTTCTTCGCTGCGATCTCCAACCTGCAGCAAAATGCACAGAAAACCATGACCTTGAATCACGATTTTATTCTACGTAAAGACCAGGTTTGGTTTTTTTTTCGTTTCAAATCATCTTATCATGAAATTAGCACAATTTACACAGTATGATACTGAAAATACGTAACATTAAAAATTGGACAATGTTCTGAAAAGCGTTGCTTATTAAGATTACCTTTATACGCGCAATGCCAGCTCCAGCTCCATATGGAGTACATGTATCCCATGCAGTTCCCTATCGAATGCAGTACGAAAGTAGTCTAATTACTCCTTTCTAAACCCCTCCTACAGGATGTTTAAATCATAACTAGCGAGTTTTTTTGCCTTTCGGGTAAACAAACTCGCGATGGTCGCGCCTTCGGCGCTCCGTTACCTTGATTAGTAATTAATTCATTCATTTTTTGCGAAAAGGGAAACACGAATTTAAAGTACGTCCCCATTGAAATAAATGACATATGGGGTCGAAAGTTTCGAATTTCATCAAAATCATTACTTCTATGATTCTATGTGTACTTAACTTTACATATTTTCTTGTGTCCCTTTTGTAAGGGTGGAGAATACATTTTGAAATACTTCCCTCAAATAATTTACGCTTAGGAGATATATTTCACAAGTAGGATTTTTCCTGTAGTCAGCCATTAAAATGGTACTTCTGAGGGAAGTTTAAATTTTCTGTCTCTGTTTCGTTGGATCAAAAATAAAATCAGTAAAATGGGTCTTAAGAAAGAGCCCTGATGGGTTTTAGTGAAAAAACAAATTTTCTTCTGAAATGGAGACTCAGAGAACTCCATGCCGGTTTTTGAATTAGCGTCTGTCAGTCACGATCGTCTATATATATATATTAGAAAAGTAGAATATTCTTTATTCCTCTATCCATCAGGTACGTAATTGCAAAGTTTTTTTTTTAACTTTCATGCGCCCTCTGTTTTGCTGGATCAGAAAATTCGTGAAAATACGCATTTTGCGAAATATGTGCACTGAGCCGTTTTAACAGAAACGTACCCTTTTTATCTTACCGAAATCCATTCTCAGTGAACTATATGCCAACAACGTTCCAATATTATACGTTTGCCCTTTTCGCTGGTGAAAAAACATGCTTCAGAAAGCCGACCTACCCGAACGCTATGCCCGGAGGGGATGCACCATGAAAGCCGAATACTCCCTCAGCTCAGTAACATCATGTCCCTTATACGTGTGCCAAGTTACCATGAAAGCTGAATACTCCCTCAGCTCAGTAACATCATGTCCCTTATACGTGTGCCAAGTTTCACCTTTCCATTTCTGTCCATGACAATTTTTTTTTCGAAACATCGCACCTGGAAAAAATTACCCCAGGGGATGTATCGAAACTAAACATTTTTATATGACTCTTCGTCTCAGTTGTCCCATTCATGCAAAGTTTCAGCTTTCCATGTTCATCAGTTTAACTGATTCAAAAAAATTAGTTGAAAAAATCTCCCTTTTGAAATTTGTGCAGTTCCGAAGTATGAATTTTTCTGCCATATAATAATAGGCAGTTATGTACCAAGTTCCATCTTTCCACACTAATTCAATATGCCAGGACAAAAACAATACTAGAAAACGTTGGTTCACAAAAATATGCCCCCAGGGCATGGATCTAAAATTTTGCATTTTTCCTGAACTCATCGTCTCGGTAGGCACGTCACGTCCATGCCAAGTTTCAGCTTTACATGTCTCTCCGTTTTACTCAAGCAAAAATGATGTGATGGAGAGGTATTGAGTAACGGGACATGGAAGGCAAAAAAAAACCAAAAGATAGCCAAAGTATGACCGGGAATTGAACCTGGACCTTCTGATTGCCAGTCAGATATGCTACAACTAAACCACGGATCCCAGCCCATTCAGTTGATATTCTGAATGCCATCCTCATCTGTCACAAAAAATATTCATGAAAAACCTTTCCCCCCAAAATGTGTACCCCCAGGGCATGTACCTCCAATTTTCGGATTTTTTCTGAACTCTATATCCCAAAAGTTACATGTGTACCAATTTTCCATGATTAGAATTAGCGTCAGTCAGTCACGACCGTCTATATATATTACTAGCGAGTTTGTTTTATTAATTATGGTCGCGCCTACCACGCTCCCTTACCTTGGATAGTGATTAATTCCTTCATTTTTTGGGAAATGGGAAACACGTATTTAAAGTATGTCCCCATTGACATATGTGACATATGGGGTCGAATGTCTTGATTTATTTAATAAAAATCATTACCTCTATGATTCTGTGTGCCTAAATTTAAATCTTTTCTTGTGTTCCTTTTTGTAAGGTTGTAGAATACATTTTGAAAAACTTCCCTCCAATAATCTACGCGGCGGTCTAAAGCTGCTCGTAGTGGCTGTCCCTTGCTTGTGATCCCTTGCCCCCCCATCTACAACCCTAAAAAAGGCTAATTTTCCTTCATGATAGCCAATCCGACTGCTACAGCTCCATCTTTCGAAAAATGTACTCCATCACTAGCCATCGGACTTCTACAGCGGCTCAAAGCCTCCCTAGTGTCCAGAAACACTGCCCCCTCCGCGATACATTTCGAATTCATTTCGCTCTTCCACATACGGTTCTGTTAGTGGCCCTCTCACACTATTTTTGTCTTAGAGGTTTCGCATCTATCACTATTGGAAAAATACTGCAAAAAAAAAGAAAGGTGAATACGACGCGTTTGCAAGCAGGGGTCCCAATCTCATTAGTTTGGCTACAGTCACATTGCGAGTGAGGGGTGAAAAAGAAAACTGAAGATGGGAAGGGGAGAGTGGCTCATGCGATGGGGAGCAATGGAGACGACCCAAGGTGGGATGGAGCTTCCGGCCGCCTTCCCCAAGACAGATGAAAGAAAAGGCAACTTTGCTAAATTGTATCGTGGTTTCTTCATACACCGGGCAAAACGCCACTTCTCGATATCATCACATCACGTGGCCAGGCTTTATTGTCAGAGCTCATCAAATTCAATGAAGTCAAACAAAAAACGGAATGAGATCAAATAGAGAGAGAATGCTACTGAACACGACTTCTGCCAGTCTTAGATCACAAAGTGCAGGAAATAAAAAATAGCAGTTGCTAGCAGACGACAGATGGGAACTTTGGTGGAATCGGGTCCCAACTCACGGAAGTGTCCACTTCTTCCCAGTACTCCGAATGCTTCATCTGTACTCGAGAAAACTACAATGGAAATTAAATAAGTTCACAAGGCTATCATTCCATAAAGGGCAGTGGCAGCTCATCAGAGAATGCAGTGCCTATCATTTTCAAAAGGCATGGCATACGGGCCATTGTCTTTGCTCAGCTATGTTTGAGGCCACCAAAGTGACATGAAAGGCAGGGAACAGCAGGCAAACTGTTCACTGCTATTTTTTATGCATCAAATTAGAAATGAATTTGAAGCAATAGGTGAAATTATCTCATTATAAACAACTACCTCATCTTTTTTGGTCAGTTCTTGAATACATTCCTATGATGTGAAAAAACTGGCCCACTGGCATACTTCTTTCTTAAATATTTCCTAAATGAATTTCAAAGCAAGATTAGACCTATTTTCCATTCCTGAATGCTTACTTGTCTGTTGTACTGAGATGTGAGGGACTCTTGAGCCTTCATTCTTGCAAGCTCCTCTTGAAACATCTTAAGAATTGAGTCCAGTGTCTCTGATAGGGGATCAGAATCAACCCCCAAGGGCATCAGTCCCTCCTCTCCAGAGGGCACTTGTCCTTCCTTTGCATCATTACAGAGTTGATTTGGGAAAGAAGATTGAGATAGAGTGTGGTGAGAAAGTGCCTCTGATGGGTCAGCAGCATTTTCCTTGCTAGAGCTGGATTCATCACTCTCACTTCTAACATCTCTACAAGAAAAAATGCATATCATTCAACTGTATTATTGACATCAACATCAGTTTCAGGATCATAAGAGCTGCAACAATTGATGGAGAGGTCCTTTACATATTCTCCATAGTTTCAGTGAAAAAAAAGTTTAATATGGTAGGACAAATTCAGAAGTAGTTAACAGGTACTGGATACCTAGTACTAGAAAGTGGACATTATCAACCTGGGAAAGATAAATGCCAGAATAATTTAGTTCAGTATTTAGGAAAAAATGCTCACCTGTGAAAGTGTTCATACAGTTGAGAGGAAGGAGGACCATTCCTTGATGAATTGGAGTCACTAGATGATGTTGATGTTGTTGATAAGCCCAAGGAGTTTGGGACCAAGTTACCTTCATCTTCCATTTGTAGATGGAGGTATTGGCAGAACTCTTCTTCAAGCATTACCTGCCTTGCTTCCTCATACTCCCTTATCATTGATGGAGGAAGATGTAGTTCTGGCTGCAACACAACAGAAAGACTTGGATGCTGGAATTTGTTGTTGGAACTTGTTGAAAGTTTGGAGATGCTGACAATATGTTCTGTTTATGCATGGATCATTGCTTCAAAGTTCTCAATCAAGTGGCTTCTCTTCAATCATGTCTCCAATTTCATGATTTCTTTCTTTTCATTGACTACTAAATCAAAAGGGAATAGAACTCCAAAATGCTTAGTAAACCAGGTACTCTCAAAATGCACCTGAAGTGCCTGAGGAACAGATATACATAATTTTCACATTCTCTGTTTTCCTTGCAGCAATTAAGTACAGTCAACCCTTGATATACCGCCACTCTCGCTTACTGCCAACTCTTTCCTGAGAACGAATCTTCCCCATAGGCTTACCATAGGCGCTCTCCCATTACAGCACCACCCTCACTAGCCACCATCCACCAATACCTTTACTTGCACAAACGTCTTATTCATGTAAGTCTGACTTGATATTATGCCAAGGAGCATACATCACCAGTCACTATTATCATACCATGTACAAAATATAATGCTGCCAGTTGCTCCTTTTGGTTGCATGATAGATGTCAAGATTGTAAGCGATGGCTAAGTGTTGGAATAGGCTTTCAGAGATTGAAGAGGGGAGTATAGGGTTGCCAAATCAAGCCGAATCCTGTCTCTTCTTCTGGAGAATGGAAACATCACATTAGGATTATTCGCAGCTTCTCCAATGACAGTTCAAGTTAGTTCACTATCTAGTGATGGGGGAAAGGAAAGTTTTAAGTGTGAAGGAAAAATTGGAAGTGTGCCAGTAGGAGGCGAATGTGATCAAAAGTCAGCAAAAGTTGGGGAATAATTTTTCAGTCTTTTGGGACAATATTAAGTAATTGGATTTAGTAATGGATGGAATAGATAGAATCATTTTTCAAAGCTGTGTAGTTGGTGTATTCTGAGGCATGGACCATTGGCAGCATAGCTTAATTAAAGTGAATTTTTGGTGCATATTTTACATAAATAGGAAAAAATGATCGATTTTAAAACCATGTGTTTCAATTTAGCACCACCCTTGATATAATGCCAAAATTGGCTGAGACAAACAGTGGCAGTATATCAAGAGTTGACTGTAGCAGGCACACTGAAAATGATGATTCAGAGACATGCTAAAAGCCACTATGATCCCTTACTCTGCCACTTCTGAACCATGAACTCACTCCTTCAAAAATGTGGATAATCAGGATTTTCCAGTTTGTGAAGGCTTGTGAATAGCCTCTGTGGGCTTTGGATTCTTACTAATAGTTAAAGACTTAAAATAATGGGCAATTTATCTGCTGTGGGTTCCTAAAAGTGAAGAAAAAAAATTTTATCAACACAGGCATGATAAAGCTTTTAAATTTGTATTACATGAGGTCTGGAGCTGAGACATCATAAAGGTCTGTCACACTTGAAAATATGTTTTTCAGCCTGATAAATAGTGATTTTTATTGTGAAAGAGGAGGACTATCTTAAATGGTACAAATTAGAAAGGCACTAGGAATTTTCTCCTGACAGAGGTGAGGACAGAAAAGATTATGACTCACATGTTTCTTCATCTCCACAAGAAGGGAGTCATGAGCAGAATCCATGTCAGCAAGGAGGATTTGAAATCTTCGCTTCAGCTGTTCACGTCTGAGAGCCTTGTTGCCCCTTGTCACCCTCGCTTGCTCCCGCCTCTGTTCTGCCTCCTCCTCGGCTTCCATTTGTTCCTTCATGATTGCTTCCTCTTTCTTGGCATAGTCAGCTCCACTCTGCCTCTATTCCATCATTCAATCATCATCATGTCTCTGTGCATTTCACAACTTTCACAAATCATAATTTTTTTCATCACATCAAGTTCAAAGACACCCATGAAGAGGAGCATAATAAGAGAAGCGTGATGAATATGAACAGAGCAGAGTGAAACATAAAGTGAAGTGACAGGAATAAAGCTAATTCCTACTTCAACCATCACTGCACCTTGAAAATCCTTTGAAAAGGAACCACATCCCAGGGTACAACAACCACCACCTCATGAAAAATATAGCACAGCATAAATGAAAAAGGAAAACATTATGATCAACATTATGCTCATGACAGTGATTGTGGGAAATTGAAATCAACTACATAAAACCCTAAATGATGTGGATAAAGCAGAAAGCTATAATGAATTACAACACTCCTTGTGACCTAGTGAAAGATGGAAATGACCAATAGAAAGCATGAGCTAACCTGATGATGTGGTCTCTTCTTGATGATAGTGACTCGAGGGCATTTCCAGCCATGTTGCTGTGAGGAGCAGGGAGAACCATGGCATTTGGCATGGTGGAACACCTGGTTCTGCACCACCTCTGCTGAAGTGTCCATTGACTTGGCCATATCACTTGATATCTTCATCCCTCTCATTGCACTGCAGAGAGTAATGATGAAATGAATAGTTGAGTCACAAAACGAAAACATTCAATGACTGGAAGGTAGCAAATTCATTAGCACACTTCAGACAGAGGTTTTGGAATAGCATAAAATAGGCAACAACAAAAAAAAAAACAAGTACCTTCTGGTCCTTTGACCACCAGGACATGGGGCAGAATTACTCAAGAAAATGGGTTGTGGAAGGTCCCTGGTTTTCCTAAGCCATTCATCCTCCCTTTCCTTCATTGCTTTCCTTTTTTCTTCCTTTGCCTTGTTTTCAGCTTCCATCTTTTTCTTTTGAATTGCTGCCAGTCCTGCTGCCCTCAAGTCTTCCATCTTCCTTACATTCTTGGTCATGGACTTCTGCTTCTCCATGTTGTCCCTCTCTTCTCTTGCCTTGTTTTGGAGTTCAGTCAGGGCTTGCCGTCCACGACTCATAGCAGCCTGTCTCTGTTGCTTTCCCTTTTCTTCGACCTCCTTTGCATAGTCAGGCTAAAGAAGTAGTATCACTTTATTATGAGAATTCCCTGGTAAAGAATCATTTGACCTCATTTATGATTGCATTAGAGCCATGGCATGTATTTTAATGTGCAGTTCTGAATGGGAATTTGTGCAGTTCAAAACTGGGCAAGAATTACATTTTGAAACAAAAAATACCTCTGAAATTAGTGCAGTAACCTATTTAAAATGATCACTGTATTCCTACCTTAAAAATGGTGCTAAATCTAATTTTTATTCCTAAATACATGGGGGGGAGGGGGGGGAACACCTAGCATCATACCAATTCCTACACAGGGATTATAATTATTTGTGGAGTTCCAATTTTTTTACTACAATATACCCTGATGAGAGTGATTATTAGATTACTTGGTAGAGTGGTAGCAATAGCCATAATTAACACTAAAAAAAAACTGAAGGAGCCTTAATCAGAAGATTCCAACACATATTTGGATTGACTATAGATGGTGAATTATTGCAAATTGGTAAAATTGATGATGGTATCATGCTACAGTTATTCACCCTTACAGCACTTTCCTATAGGCAAATGCTCACCTGATAGGTCACTAAGGACTAACCCGACTAACTCATCATTCTACCATTTCCAGAAATAGGTTTGTCTGCTCACTCTTTTTGAGAAATACATGTAGTATGTTGTACATTGTGCTTCTGCACCAAAGCTGAAGACCATAAAAAAATTTAACCTATCAAACTTTTTTTCCAAATTTAAACTAAATGCAAAAAAACCTGTTGATATTAAAAAATGCTATCAAAGTAAGAGGAGAAGGAAGATGGTAAAGCCGTGTGACCATAGCACCACCATTATAGTCTATTCCCGACCAAAGTTCTCCGATACTTCCAAATAAAGACAGCTAATAAACTTGATGGATGAGGTTTTGGGCAATAAATTATTGGGTTTTGCCCTCGCCCATAATGGGAAGGGTTATAAAAATCGATAGGGTTGTCAACGCTTGATATGGATTTTTATGCATTTTCTTCGTGTGTGTCCTGCGGATGCTGTGGTGGCCATGGGAGGATTCCAATAGAATCTGACATCCCTGTGCATTCTTTCCCAAAAGGGTGGCACTCACATGTCAATTCCAGTTAATCACTTCATGGCTACCCACAATAAAAGTGTCAGGGGGATTCCATATCCAAGAATTTTGGTTGAGAACAGACTATATTCTGTTACTGCATAGAGTGATCATGGTCAAACATGCACTAGATGATTGTCTCATGTCCACCTCATTCCTGGCATTCCTGTGTCCAGTGCCAATTCTCCTGAGGCTCTCTTCATACTGGCTCTCCAATGCATTCAGCAGGGCTTTGTGTTTCTGCAGGAATCGCCTACGGGCTTCATCTGCAAGATTCCCCATTTCCCTCTCTTTTGCACCTCGAACTGCACTCCGCAATCTTTGTGCAAATTCTCCACTCTTTTCCCGCACCTTAATAAGATCAAATAAAGCAATTGAGGTTGCCTGAATGAGCATTCTCTCAAGTAACATGAGTAGGATCTCGCCAGGAGGAAAGGAAAGAGAACTGAAAGCTATGCAATGGGAGGGGTGTCCAGTTGGGGCTTCATAGACATAAGTCAACAGTTTTGAGCTGATTACATCAAACACAACATTACATGTAGGCTAATACATTGGTAGGATATAACAAAATGGAAAATGAGAAGGGGGGGGGGAGGGCGCGTTAGTAATGTGGACTTGAGGAAACGTTTGTGCATACAGAAGCGGTGCTCATATACAACTGGCTAAAAGTAGTAGGCCTACCTGAGTCAGCCTCATTCTTCTTCGTGCCTCCCTTTCTTTATTCACTAGCATCTCTATTTCACTTCGACTTAACTTAAGAGTCATTGTGAAGGCCTCGATCACAGGTGATTGATATTCGACACAAAAAAAAACTGCCACGGGTTCTGTCGTGACAGAACCCGAAGACAGTCGTTGGGGCGATGCCAGGCAGATAAGCGAGAAATTGAATCGAACGCTTGTAGGACTCTCCGTAATAGAGTCCTACACGGGAAGGCTTGACGATCCCGGCCGGAACTCCGGAAGAATCATGTCCCGCACCCTACCTAAATCCCTGCCCAACGGACTTCACGGTCTGAGCCGACCCGAACAGGTCCCGTGCTAAATCAGCAGCACCGATCCAGCACGTACATAAAAAAAAAATCCAATAGAAATGGCACTAATTTACGACCATCAGCGTCATATCCTCGGTTGTAAACCACTCTACTTTCTGTCCCAATAAAGAACATTATTATTATTATTATTATTATCGTACTTTCACGGCGAATGCCGGTATAGGAGGTATGAGAGGGGATGAGCCACATCCCAGGCCTCATACTAGCCTTAGTTCTGTAGGACACCGCGGAGGATGTTGGTCGTGCCCAAGGTTTAACGTACGCTGGAGGATGTCGAGTGATAGTTGACATTCCAGCTTCTTAACGTGTCTCTTGAGGTCTTTCAGGACAACGCCGGTTGTGCCGATGATGATCGGAACCAGTCTATGTATCTTGGATCGGAACGATGGTGGTCTTCATTCCGCACAAGCGTTCCACTTCCACTTTCAATTCGGAGTATTTCTCCAGCTTTTCCCTGGTATTCTCTTAGAGGGTATTATCAGCTGGGATGCTTACATCTACGAGGAGAGCGGTCTTATTTTCCTTCCTATAGATCGTGAGATCCGGCCTGTTTTAGTCGATATCCTGAATCCTTGTGCACGCGGTAGACTCTCAAAGATATTCGTTACTAGACAGTAAAATAGGATAGTCAAAAAAAAAATATATATATATATATATACAAAAATACAAAAATATTTAGCTTTAAGAAGGTTAGGCCTACCCTAAAATTAAGGAACGCTCGCACGTGATATCGAAATGGGCGAAATCGCCTCTTGATGTCACTATCTTGAATCTGGAATCTTGAAAACGTTATTTGTTTGAAATTGTTTGCTGGGTAAATTCTTCTGCACTTTTTGATAGGCTTCAGCGAAATCCCTCCTGTCAACAGTTGCAGCTCCTCGAGCAGGGATTTCTTAATCAACGACTGCAACGAATCGTCCCCCTGCCCCCCTACCCCCTGCCCCCCTTCCCCCTTGCCCCCCTGCCCCCCCAATGAGACGCTGGTGACGCCACTGCACTCTGCGAAAGGTGGAAAGAAGAAGTTCGGACGCATGCCACTGCGGAGCCCCGCCTTCACTTTCGTTGCGATCGCATCTCATACATCATCCTCCTTTGATCACCCGTAATTACGAACGGAAACAGATGAAGCGACGAGCCTCTCATCTCTCCTCCGCAGCCTCCCGTCTCTCCTCCTCGACACCCGCGCAATCCGGCAACCCTGTCGAATCCGACCAAGGACGACATCCGCGTTTTCAGTTCGCCGCGGACCTTAATGAGGATTGATTCCCTTCATCGATTTTCCTCTCACGCAAAATGTCGCGTCCTTCGCCTCACACGGGACGTCGTGCCTCCCCGCCCTCTCCCCTCTCCCTCCCCCCCCCCCTCTTCATACAAAGATAGGTCTTCCGGTCGCGGAATTCCGCCGGCGGCATCGAAAGTCAGCCCGTCCCGGTTGGGCGATCGCGAACCGAGCAGCCGTAACTCGCGACATGCGCTCTGGTCCCCACTGGATCCAGTCTCGACCGGTCACGGACATGCAAAGGTGAAAAATATAAATAAAATAATATAAACATATATATATATATTTTTTTATAATTATAATTTATATATATTTTATTTATATATTTTTTATTTTCATTATATATATATAAAATAAATCCTTCCATGACACGTGATATCGAAATGGGCGAAATCGCCTGTTGATATCACTAACTATCTTGAATCTTGAAAGAGTGAAAGGGTAATGAGGTTCATAAGATGAGTGTAACTGCCGGTGTCTGGTCAATTCCCCGACAGGACAGTTCCCCGAATGACAAATTCCCCGAACGGTCAGTTCCCCGATCACGATTTTCCGATCTCACGGTCGCGGAAGGAGGGCTATCGACCGCATCAATCTCCTTCATGTCTAGGGGCCGACTTATAGTTCACGCCCTTGTTTGTCTCTGAAGAGGTACATCATTCACGATGTTTGCTATCACCTTGCGGGCTTGTAATTTTCCAGGTTCTGGAGCATGATGATGTTGCCCTCGCCTGCTGACAACCTGCTCTCCTTCAGTTGTAGCTCTGAAACTGCAGTTTCCTTTGTATCTTCCATAGAGGCACTCCTAGAGTTCAAAGTTCCAGAGTTCAAAGTTTCTCCAGACGATTGTTCAAGTGTGTTCATTATCCAGTAATGGGGGGAAGGGACAGTTATAAGTGTGAGGGAAAAAGTGGAAGTGTGTCGTTACAAGGAGGCGCATGCTGTCGAGAGTCAGCAAAACATTGCGAATCATTTTTCAAATTTGTTTTGTTTTTGTTCTCCATTGGCAGCATGGATGAATTAAAGTGGATTATTTTTGCTGATTCTATTTTACATTTGAGTTATTTCGGAAATTTTGCATTTTCAATATAGCACCACCCTCGATATAGCGCAAAATCGGCGAAGACCAGCAGTGGCGGTATTTCGAGAGTTGACTGTCTTTTAAGAGTGTCCCGTAGTTGTGATGGCCAAGTCTATAGCCTAGAATTGCATCGCCTTGTAGGCCCAACGCGCGAGGGCTACAAGGCTGTCATTCTAGGTCACAGGCTAGGCCATCACAATTTGGGCGCACTTTTAACACGTTGACCGCCACGGCTATATTGACCTGGTGACTTTCCTACGCCAAAGTCATTTTCATATCCCTAGGAGACTCCTTAATAACATACTATGATCATACCTTGCTATTTGCAACTTTAAGCGATCTTTTGCAACCTTTTTAGTGATGCGCACCGGTGTGCCTCATGGCGTGTGGAATGCAACTAGGTTTACCACGCCACGAGGGCCGCCAGTGGAACTCACACACGCGCGGCGCCACTGACACTGCTCGTTTCGCAGCCGTCTGCGACGTCACGCGTTGGAGTAATTCTCCTGATAGTAGAACCACCGACCGTATATAAAGGCCGACCCGCCCAAAAGCTATGCCCTGAGGGTATGCACCACAAAAGTTTGGTTTTTTCTAAATTGAACATCACGTCAGTTATGCGTGTGCCAAGTTTCACCTATTTCTTCTCGCTTATCTGCAAGAGCAGATGGATGAGCTTATGGCAGCAAGAGAACGAGAGGTAACCAACTTTAGTTGCGCAAACCGCTGGTGCGGCTCAGGTCGAGACAGGAATTCTTTACTTGCAGAGTGGTGAACGTAAGAGGGTTAGGCCTACCCTAATATTAAGGAACGCTCGACCTCGACACGTGATATCGAAATGGGTGAAATCGCCTCTTGATATCACTAACTATCTTGAATCTGGAGTCTTGAAAAAAGGCGTTGCCGATCCTCTTCCTGAGCTTGCCAACGTTAATCGCAGGGTTTCAGGGTCTCATTGGCTGGACATGCAGAACATCCGATACCTCCTGGATCGAATCGACGATCGTCCGTGCAATCTATATATACTCATTTTTGAAATCAGACGGTTCTCCTTCACAAAGAATGTTCATGTATGTACCTCACTTGGGTAATGGAGCAGACACAGATAGGGGGATTATCTGGCAGCACTGGCCCCATCGTGCTCCCAAGGACACTGCGACGATGTCTGCACTTTTAATGCGACCTTCCTATCTCGGATTCATTGCTTAATCAAACAGTCTAGCCTAGACCTAGTTTGAAAATATTGTGGACCCCTTCTGTGGTTATTCATATGATGGAGCAGGCACATCAGGCATAGGCCATTGTTTAGGCCTCGGCTAAGTCTCATTCTCTGGCTACGGGGTAAGGTATTTTGGCTGGAAGGAAATCTTACTCCAATTTAGATCAACGATACAACTTTGGCCAATGACATGATACAAGCGCTATCTCCAACGTTCGAGTGTTCCAGGCCTAATTCTAATGCTAAGAAGGGGCTTAGCTGGCCGTATGCAGATTGACGTAGTAGGCTGAGATAAGTGTTGATCCTATAGCGATTTCATAAGATGGCTTTCACCGGTTAGCACTCACATCACGATAAAGGACGTAATGGAGTAAATAAATTTTAAATTAAATGGTCTCAATTTTTTTTGCCAATATTTCATATGACATCCCATCCTCCTCTTTCATCTTTCCAGTAATTAATGTTATGTCAATATAGAGCCTTCATTGTATCTCAAGATTTCATCAATATAAAATCTTACGTTTTATGCTTTTCTTGAAAGACTTAAGCTTTCATTTTGCATTTCCATTTAATTCATAATTGAGGCATGTAAGTAATGTAAATTTTGCATTAAGGTCAGTGTACACCAACCACACAGCATGACAAGAGCAGCAACAAGAGTCTTGCAGCATAACACTAGGGGGACATTGTGCTTGTGGGAAAAATTGAGTGGAAGTTGACTATGACCAAGACCCTGTGATGTGTTAAGATGTATACAAAGTCTGATTTAAAAAAATTTCAGGGACTAAGTTTATAGAACAATGGTGACTCTGGCTACTGATGGCAATCTCCTTTGAAGTAGCCCCCTTTGGCCTTGCAAATTTTTCCAGCATTTCTTCAGCCGCTGGAAGTATCACTAGCACTCACATTTTGGAAACGTCAGCAACACTCATGTCCCATTTGTAATGCTGTTTTGGATATCATGAAATCTTCTTCCTTTCAGTTTACTCTTTAGCTTAGGGAATAGGAAGAAATCACTGTAAATCAAGTCTGGTGAGTAGGATGGATGAAGCACAGAGTTTGTGGGATAGGTCAGAAATTGCTGTACAACAAAATTGTGCCAGGCCTGGGCATTGTCATGCTGCAGATCTCTTGACCTTGCTTCCACTTTTCACTTTCTAGGAATAACATTGCAAAGACAAGTGAGCACAGTGAGGTAAGACCAGAGGGGCAAACTGCGATTCAGACTTACTTCCTCACTGTGAGAAAGAAAAAGAGAAAAGAGGGATACAAACCTTGGCTTCCACTTCTTTCTCTTTTCAGAAAGAGAAAAATGGAAGGCAAGGTTGTGGATTCTGCAGCATGCTAATGTCAAGTCCCAGCAAATTTTTGCTGTGCAGCAATGTCAGACCTATCCCACAATCCCCCATTCTTCATCATCCATCCTACCTGCCTGACTTTGATGAGACTCCTGTTGGCCCATCAGGTTATTTTTTCACTTTCTTTCTTTTTCTTAAAGCTCTCCTTGGTTTCTCCATAGTTACAATCCACATTGTCTGAAGGTCTGCTTTGGGTCAATTTGAATTTTCCATTATTTCATAATTTCTGCATCGATGTCTGTGCAAGTTGATTCATTGCTCATAGCATCTTGGCCAACTTAGGTGGTTCATGGAGAATCTCTTCAAAATGTAAATGCATATAACTACCATGTATAATCATTCTGTATGAAATATATTATTCCATTATTATCCAATTCCTTATAATTTGCATGTTTAATAAACTTGGATTCTATGCCAAGCCAATATTTCACCCCACATACCTGGTTTGAGTTGCTTGGTTTCATGTGAAAGAAAAAGACCAATGTTCATTGTGGTTGTGGTAGTTCACAAGGGAGTGGGTTTCATATGAGTGCATTCATGAGGGTAACAAGTCTCAGCTGAGGATGCTGAAGGTTCTGATCAACCTTGAATGTAGTCATTTCTTAACTATATGTAAATACAGCTTCATATAGTTATTTTTCTCTGAGTTCACACACTTTAGTAAGGGTATTGGAAATACTGAAGTTTAGACTCTTGGACAATTTACCAAATCCCTAGTCATTTTATATATGGGCGTCTGAGGAAATATTATTTCTGCTGGTATCAGTAGGCCAGTCCATGGAGAACAGTGTTTTGCAATATAAGGATGTCTGCACTTGTCCCATAATTGCTGTATTAGGTATAATAGCATAAGAGGTAATGGTTTGCATCCTTTTAGACTTCCATTCATGGCTTCTTTGTGAAACTTATCATTCAGAAAATTTGCATCCCTTAGATCAGTGATGATGTATTTTCACACTGTTGGGAGTGAAACCTATTCTGCAATTTCCTGGTGGTTGCCTCACGAGGTGACTTCCTATACCTGAGCTATGTAGGCCTGCAAGTGTTCCATTGAAGGCTCAATTCATTCTGCTTGAAAGTCATGAAGATATCTGTTTCAACTGGAGGGGACATGGCTAGATTGATTGTGCTAACAGCCTTGTTTGTGACACCAACTTTGGCAGACATTATGGTCATTAACATGACCAATAATCGTACAGTGGACTACTTTCCTGATCTCCCTGCAGCCTTTGGCCACTCCATCCCACCACCTGGGATCCTGGTAAGGTCCTTTTCTAATTTGAGCATTTGTGAAAGTGAGCAGTGGTTGGATCTGGTAGTGCCACTCCATTGAATCATTTACCTACTGTTTTAGTTTCTTGTTTGATATGGGACCAATTGATTTTCATCAAGGTCCAGTCTTATCTTATTCAGATCTATTCATCAGAGCCAGGAATACCTTTTCCTTCCCCTATCCCTCTACATATTAATCTAAGAGATCACTGCAGAAGTACATGTGAAGTACAAAGTAATTTTGTTTGTTTTTGTTTGTTTTTTTTGTTTTGTTTTTCTGAGAGAGGGCATTTACTGAAACCTAGAAGTAGCCATGAAGTTTGCTTGTTAAAATGGGTTGATGTTGGGGAGCTTTTAAAATTGTGAACTTAAGTTTTGAAGAGTTGGTTGAATGCGAGGGTTTTGTTATCAGACCTAATTATGCATTGAGAAGTGCACTCAGTGATGCACCCAGAGAGAAGGGAATTCAGGGGGTCAGAACATATATCATGCAAATTGCCATAGATGAATCCTTTTGTAAACTCTCTTCTGATTTTGTGATTAGGTCAGTCTTCTGATATTGGTATTGGGATCAATTGAAGAGATACATGATGTTGATTAAGTTCTTAGCATTCTTCACTACTTCTGTATGGATGCACGCTGAATTGAGAAGTAAAAGAAAAGTAGACATGATTGAGAATGATTACAATTAAGTAAAAATCTATCATTTGAAGAAACTGAATTCATTTGCAAAGAATTATGTTTATCATTTAACATTTTCTTGCTGGCACTGATGCTTTATTATTATGTATTGCAAGCTAAATCTGATTATGCACTTGATGTATACCCAATGAATGAGAAAGAGAAAATAGTATTGATTGAAATGATTATGAAGTTAACTGAAGAATCCATGAAATTGTGAAATATAACCACTTTGCCTTTCAGGGCTTTGTGGCAACGGGGACACCAAATGACACGACCATCACAAGTGAGGCATGTGAAAAGGGGAGCATTGATCCACCTGAGAGATTTCCCAACCCTACCAGGCACTGGATAGTGCTTGTAAAGAAGGGGGGTTGTACTTACAAGAAGAAGATCCAAGTGGCTCAGGAAGCAGGCTATGATGCAGTTATTGTCCATAATGTCCACTCCAATGTTCTTGGTTTGTCATTCTTTCTTCTTGTTCAGTGACAGGAATGCCTTTAGTTTTGATTATTTGTTTTCCCCCTGATGGTTGATGAAATAATGTGTAATAGATCTTAAACAAATACAGTGATACAAGGCTTCCTGGTATATTGAGTTGTGTGTAAAGTTCTCCTAGCTATTCTCTGGCTGAAGGGTAGCTGTTTTTCACAATCTGGAGAGCCAGCATCTATCATCTGAGGCATATGAAAACTACACAGATATCCATGACAGGATTTCACTGACGTTCATAAAGATGTTTGAGATTGCAATTTGAGTTTGTTTTCAAGCTGTCTAAATGTTAATATTACTGATGACATGCTTGCATTTAGCCAGTGTTGATAATGGCATACTCCACTTCCAGTAAATTCTAAGTTCCAAAGATTGCTGCACATCTCTGTACCTTTAAGTCTTACAGTTTAATATTGTATGACCCTGCATTTTATTATTTTTGTGGTTTTTCTTATGGAATGAGAGGTGGTTGTGTGTCAGCAGCCTGGATGGAACTATAGTTAGTGATCTTTGCAGAACAAATGATATGTGAGGGTTTTGGCTGCAGTGATCTGATCCCATCTGTTTTCATTGGGCAAGAGGATGCATTCTTCCTCTCCAATCGATATCTCAAAAAAAGGTAATATCCTTGGCCATAGGGTTCCCTTTGTTGGTCATTGTCCCCAAAAAACTCATATCTTGTTGGTGAACTTTGTCCAGCTATATGGTTTACATCAGCAATGAGCGACCTTTCTATCTGACCAAGTATTTGCTTCCCATGGCCATCGTTGTTGGGGTTGGCTTTGTCGTCATCCTCGTCTACATGGTCAGTTGTCTCAAAAAGATATATCATAGCTGTAGTAAGGACAATTTCCTATTTCTCATGCCTGTGTAGGTGACAGATAGGAAACATTGGTTTAGATGGTATGATATTCATTCCTCATTATAATATTGGGTACCTAGGTGCTATTCACCCTCCCCCATCCCACAATATTTTCAAGAACTCTACATCTGTCTTTGTTTCATATGTACTGAAGTATTGTGTACAATACTGTTATGTCATATCCTGTAGGCTTTTACCAGCCCACAGGATGTAACATACGAGTGTTGAAGCAAGTTTGTCACTGAATTGGAGCATGACCACAAAAGCAACAGCACTTTTTAGTGTATAACTTGGCAGTGATTTTTCTTCCTCTAGGGTGAGTTTACATAGAAAGTAACACAGTGTGAGTCAATGCAATGTGTGAGTGCAATTCTCACACAGTGAGAATTGCAGGAAGCCTTGCAACCATGGGGAGAGAAGCAATTTAGGGGTCATAAATGGACCTTCCAGCAGGACTCCGCCCCATCCCACAAGGCCCAAGCAACTGTCGCATGGTGCAAAACAAACTTTCCAGACTTCATCCAGCCTGACGAGTGGCCCTCCAGCAGCCCAGACTTGAACCCCCATGGACTTCGCCATCTGGCGGATGTTCAAGGCGAAGGGCTGCTCTAAGCCCCATAGGACAATTGTTGGTTTAAAGAAAGCTTTGGTCAAGGCATGGAATTAAATTCCCCCTAAACACCTCAGAAACTCAGCCGAAAGCTTCTGCAAATGGCTCAGGGCAGTAGTGGCAGCCAAAGGGAGCAACATTTAAAACAACTAGTATCATTTATTCATTACATGGGGCCTCTATCTATGTTTTAAGTCTCATTTTTTTGGCTAAACATTTTGGGTGGTAGATAGCAATAAAAGTTGTTCCAAGGACTTTATTGTCACCTTGTACATTGAGCAGTATGCATCGGCTGAGATAATTCAATTTCCAAATGTGGCTGTGAGAGCATGGCAGCACTTTCTTTACATGGAACTTTGAGGTTTAAGGCAATGTTGCTGCCAACAAGCTCAAAAAAAAGTTGTGAAAGCATTATTGGGCTTGGATTAGCTTCATTTTTTTTCACTAAATATATTTTATTGTCTTGTGCTTTACTGAAATCTAATAGATTGTGAGGTGCATCAAGGATGCACGTCGGGCACGTCGCCATCGGCTGCCATCCCGAAGCCTGAAGAAGATCCCAATGATCAAATATAAGAAAGGTGATCCCTATGACACATGTGCCATCTGCCTTGAAGACTACAATGAAGGGGAAAAGCTTCGGGTCCTTCCTTGCTCCCACGGTCTGTCCTTGCTTTGTCACCTTTAGCTATTGTGGATGAATGCAGAAACTTTCAGACTAAGATTGATTTCAAAGCCGCAGTTCAGTTGCAGTTTAATTATAGTCCTAAGATGATCCCAGTCTGGTTGCAGTTGCAGTCGACTGGAAATACGACTGGACTTTGAATGTACTGAGATTTTGAAATCATTCTCCAGTTCCTGTTTGAATGTAGTTGGACTATGGTAAGACTGCAGTTGCCACTCGCTTCAGTTTTTTTTTGTTCAATTGCAGTCAGTTGTAGCATGACTTCTCATTGACCCATTCTTAAATTCCTTATACATTATTGATATAAATGAATGGAAATGGTTCGGTGCCAGCCACAGATTGGTGTCATATTTATGATTTAGTTCATCATTGGGCATGTGTTCCGCTGCATACATTGCCGCTTTAGGACTTAATCACATGTGAGGTGCCTCATAGCCATGGTTTGCGAATGGCAAATGCAAGCAATATCCTCATTCCACTGTGAGGAAAATCAAGCAGCACCAACTTCAACTCAAGCAGAGGAAGAAGAAATCAAGACATATATATATTTATTATCTTGCCCTTCCCATCGAGACAGTTGCCTCAGGGTAGGTCTGACTTGAATTCTCCAGGCGCCACGAGGGAAGAGAGGCTTCAGACAGTAATTGGTTGGAACCATAGTCACACTCTGGTTTGACTAAAACCTGACTATGATTGGACAGGCAGTCAACACAGACTCTCGAAACTGCAGTCCGACTAGTGTTCAAATGGCACATTTAGACTATTCTTGAACGAAAAACCCAACTGTAACTGGAACTGAACTGCCCTTTTGAAATAACCCTAAGTTTAGGATTTCTGGCATTGCCCAATCATATTTATTTCATGATTTGAGTGTTGAGAAAATAGCATCTGTTTTTCTGGGCTGTCTCTGCTGGGTTGTTTTGCTAATTATGTCTCTTTGCCAAACTGCCACATATTTGAATGCCAATTCTTGTGCTTTCTGATGTGTTTCCACTCTTTTGAATGGTCTATCCATCTCAACCCTTACTCATTTTTTTAGAATTTATCTGCTACTACAGGGAATTACCATTGACATGGTGGATAGCACAAAATCAGAGGGTCATCAATGTAATTTATCTTGCTCTAGTGACTTCTAATTTCATTTCTTATAGCAAAGCACAAAAAGCAGCTGCATAATTTTGATTGTCTTTCTCTTCTCGTGACATTTTTGCATTGACAAGTGAGAGAAGTATGTATTATGAAAGTTATTTTGTTGGTGTGATTGCAGCATTCCACTCAAAATGTGTGGATCCGTGGCTGACAAAGACAAAGCGAGTGTGCCCTTGCTGTAAACGAAAAGTGTTCACCCGGGACGAGAATCCACACCCAGACTCGGGGTCCAGCAGTGAGGATGAGCGGGAGACTGCCCCACTGTTGGGGTCTGCACGGGGGACACGCCAAACAGATGGAGGTACCTTCACCAGTTACATCCATCCTCTCCAGTCCCATAGCAGCAGCATCAGCAGTAGCAGTTCTTCCTCCTCTTCTTCCCCTCCTTCCTCCACACCTGTCCTAACTCATGCTCATCAGGACTCCTTGTGTAAGTTTTTACTTTTCCTTTCATTCTTGAACCCCTTTAAATTCATAATGTAATTATGAACCTTAAAAGGGTTCATAACTGAACCCATTCATAATGTAAAACATTATGAAACATTATGAACGATTTACATCTTTAAACCAATCCCATTAAATCTTTTTATTTATGGAATCAAACATGAGGATTTGTAAGATATCATCACTGATGAAATCTACTATTTCTATCAACATCCATTGGACTCAGAAAATCTTATCTTGGCATTTCAAAATAACAGGTCCTTTGGATGAAAGTGGTGTTTCATCCAGTGAGCATTCCATCAATGGAGACCAAGAGGATGAAGCAGTGGAAATTGAAGACCCTGTGATGCATGTGGACATTGTCAGAGGAGACACAGATGCTACCTCCTCCTCAGGACCTACCTCACCATCAAGAGATGTGGTTCTTTGACCTGCAGACACTGTCTTGTAACCTTTGCTTCCATTCCCTCTCATACCCCTTTATTGGGCATTGAATGGTGTTCACCCCTCTCTTGTCAGAGCTGTGATCTCCCTTTGTTGCTAGCACCGTTGCTTCTCCCGGTCCGGCTTGCCTGCAGCCCCAATTTTCTCTTTCCATGCAGCTGTGATCTGATTGGATCCCTGAAAGGATTCTTGCATCCTTTAAACCCACATTAAGGTCTGGCAGTTACCTTCATTTTCATGAGTGCTTGAAATGTATTTTACATCATTGTTCAGCTAAGAGGTCTATTAGCAATTAATATCCACTTTCAGATTGTTGGTATTTTTTATTCATCTTCAGAATTCATGCAGGGATTTTTCCAGTTGGAATATATTCACATTACCAGTAGGCTTATTGTGAAGAATGCAAACTTTGTGCACGTGTGATAGTTTTCTTGCCAACATTTTGAATGGTGTCACCTTTCCTACTCTCAAAGAAATAATGAAAATGGGAATTTAAAGAAAATAAACCCAACAAGACAAGTAATTCAGTCATCAGTAAAGGGTGAGAAGTGCGTTTGATTTGTATCAACTTCTGCTAATTGTTAAATTTACAAGGAGTGCAGTTTGCATTGCTGCATTCATTAAGCTCCAAATATTAAAATGGAAGGACTCTGGAGTCGGTCATGACTTGAATATGTGATTGAGTGAGAATAGTGGCACTGCATGAGACAATCCATTCCCCTTTGTGGCTAGTCCCAAATCTTGGATTATTCAAATTGCTTCTCCCCATGTGATCCTGTGACTGTGAATGAGTGGGTCAGCCTTTATTGGTCTCTCATCTGTCTTTTCTGACTGCTTGTGGATGCCAAGCAAATACACAGAATGGAGTATTTTGATATTTACATAATCTGGCAGGTGTGTTGCAGAGCTTATCAGAAGGCAGAAGGAAAAAGACTCTGACCCTCTGCCAAGGGCAAATGAAACACCTCCACTTTCCATAGGTGTCAGAAACGCTGAGTTATTGGAAGAATTTGGTACACTTCACTGATAAATTCTTCAGTATCTTGGCTCACTATGGAAACATCTTGACCCAAAACTCTGAAAATTACAAGCAATGCAATACAAAGTAGCAAATTTTTTTATTTTAGTTTACTCTTAGAACTGCTGCTTTTAAGCTGAACTTTTAGGAAGTTTTAGATGAATCTCTCTCTAGGCTGACATCATTCAATTTATGGGGGGGGGGGGTGAAGGTCATGAAGAGGTTTTAAAACAGTTTTCCTTTTTCTTCGACCAGTGAGTGAGGTAAGATAGAAAAAAATTTGCTTTGACTTCTTTCCTTGGAACTTTGACAGTTTCATTACAATGTCTGTCTGTCTGCCTACTTACTTCTTATTAGACAGTTCATAAGGATGAATTAGTTCAATGGATGAATATTACTTGATGCAGTGATTGTGAGAGGAGTGCAAATACAGCAAATTGTTGTGAAAGCCATTTTTTATTATTATCCCAACCTCATTAGTGTGATGGCTTCTAAAGTTGCATGGAGCATGTTTGTTGCCATTTGCACAACAGCATAATTAATATAATTGTTTCCTTCAGTGTCAGCCTATAAGAGGGGCTCGACTATATGTAGTCTTATCAGCGCCACCTTACAGCGTGCAAGAACTGAAATAAGCTGTTACCATCCTTGTTGATGAGTAAAATGAAACAAAAATACAAAATGCAAGCAAAACTACATTAAAATAAAGAGAAATATTAGCATGCAGAACATGAGTGGACTTCAATTTTGGGGGCATGTTGTAGCAGTCATTTGCTAAATTCCCAACTAAGTGTTGTGTCTCTTGACAGGTTAATGCCTTAGTCTCTGAATAGGCATCGTTTCCAGGCTCATTTTAGGGATGAGACCTGGAGCTGTAATGTGCATCCCAAGCTTTGAGGAAATCCCCTTTACAAATGCTAATCTCTACTTGTTCCAAAGAATGTATCAAAAGAACTTTAAATACAATTCTAGAGGAGTTACGAGCACATACAATGTACCTTCTCAGGTGCATGAAAACAAGCAAGTAAATCTTCACCTGCCCTTATCATCACTCTTGGATATGGGAAGAGACTGCAACCACCTCTCCATGAGCTCTATGAAAGTCTAACTTTCCTATGCTTGATTTACTACTAAGATCATGTCAGCCTTTGCATGAGCTCTGCTAACTTCCATTAGCCCCATGTGTTCAAAGGCAGATGAGTCAATTTTCAGACACCCAGCAAATAGCTCACTCTTCTTTTTCTCGCATTTCAAAGTTATATAATTTTATGACTGAATGAGTGTCAGAAATGCTTTCACCAAAGGTCAAGAGTGAGCCAGGAGCTGGTTCGCAAAACTTGTAGGATGACAAACTTTTCTTGGCTTCCTAAGGCATAGTTATCATTTCACATCACATGAAACTCACAAATGGCCTTCCAGAAGTGAAATAGCAAAAACTACTGCACATATTTCAATAACAGGCATTTTCAGTTTATTAGGAATGGGTGAACAAGGAAAGCAGGTAATCCAGAAAGTCAAAATTAACCCTAGGATAGAAATTGGAGAATCTGTACATCATGTGTATAATCCTTGGCGCACCTTCCCTTGTTATCGGGAATGTTCCTGAGCTCTGGGCAGCGAGAGAGGAGTTCCTTCACAATTGAAACATGTCCCTGCTCGGCTGCTTTGTGGAGAGCAGTCTTTCCGTCGGAATCACGAAGCCTTGGGTCGGCACCTTGGTCCAGGAGGAGCTTGAGAACGGATTCGTGCCCGCGCAGTGCTGCTCGAAGCAGGGCAGATGTGCTCCCAGCACGAGTGGGGAGATTCACATCTGCTCCACTGTCTAATAGGAGACGACACACGGAAACATGCCCATTCCGAGCTGCATAATGAAGGGGAGCATATCCAGTAGCATCAATTCCATTCACAGCATGCCCCTTCTCCAACAGTTCTCTCACACGGGCTTCATTTCCTTCCATGGCTGTCAACACAAGAAAAAGACTGGAGAGAAATGTATAATATCATAGAGAAGGTGTCAGGTCCATTAAAAATAAAGTTTTAAGGATTTTGAAGCATATTAGACTTACAGTAAAACAAGTCAGTGCTAAATAGGAAAAAACTAGAAGACAACCAGACCAAACCAGTACTTAGGAAACAATGCAAACTGTCTTTTACCACTGCTTCATTATCCATTATTTCACTCTTGCCCTCTGCATTAGGTTTGGGGGGATAGGAAAATAAAATTTAAAAATGACTCCAAATTAAAGCTCATTTCCCTCTTCAAATATGAACAGTTTAATGTCCAAGTTGACATCAATTTAATGGGCTAAACAGTTATTTCCATGCCTTCCTGAGATCAGAAAAATATGCCACTACCAGCATGCATGGAGTCACATTGTTAAAACAACACTAAGGAAAAAGAAAATTAGGCACTTGTAAAATATATTAGAGATTTCTTTTAGAAAAACTAAACTGAGGATGCAACTGTCTTAAATGAAATGCCCACCTGGGTACCAAAGACCCCTCTCAAAGTCCATCTCATCCAAGGTCTGCCTGACAGTGGAACTGACTTTGCAACACTGCCCCTGACACTTCCCTTGCATGGTCCTTCAGCAGTCCACTAAGCAATATCACACAGGATGAAGAATCAGAAAAGGAGTATTTCTTGACAACAAGCACAGGACAGGATCTGTTCATGGATATCCTCGGGTAAGAGTCCAGACTGGCTGCTCACCCTGGGCTGACCCGGCCACCACCTTGTAGCCAAAATGAAATTCCAGTTGATTCATCACCAGGACAGGAGAGTTGTAGAAGGTAATACCATCCACACCAACATGTGGATCACCCGAAGGTCCAAATTTCCCAGGTTGGAGATGTTTGCTGATTTCACGAATTTCACGATCTGCCAGGCCATACACTTTTGTATTGGCCATGCCAAGATTGCCCCGTACAACCACATATGGCATTATTATCTGAGAAACTCTCGATGCAGTGTCCACACTGGATGGTGCTGTGACCCTATCTCACTCATGCACACCACTTTGTAGTTGAATTTGAATTGGAGAGCATCTAGGATTTGAACAGGAGTGTTGGAAAATGCAGTTCCATCTGGTCCTATCTTCCCACCATGATTGTCAAGAAATCTGGCAAGTTCATCAAGCTCTCTTGTAGGGAGACCAAAGACCTTTGTCTCGGGTTTCACTTCACCAAGTTGACCCCTCACACATACGTAGGGCATCCTCTTGCTTCCATCCGAGCCTATGATAGGATGAAGGTGAATAAGAAAGTCATTAAATGGCTGAACTAAATGATGCACTGTGACTCTGACATTCACCACCTGTCAAATCAATAACATCCCATTCCAAGAACATAAATGAGAGCTTTCCTGACCTTTACGAATGGATACAGCCCTCTCTTTTTATTCATTATCTTTGACTTGGTACATGAAACAAATATACTCTTGCCAGAGTCAGAGCAAGGTGACAGAATGGAAAAAGAATCCATTCTGCCTGGAGCTTTATTTTTTTCTTAAATTATGCAAAATTCCATGAACTACATGGAATTTTGAGACACAGGATGCAATGAGTATTAATACGATTCCTGTCTCACTTACTCAAGTGAATTGTCATCAAGCCAAATAGTGATTTCATAACAGCAGTTCATTTCTTCTTTCAGTTCAGATTTTGGTTTGACTGAAGTTCCACTGTGCTCCAACATTTATATCACAAAGAAATCCTAACTGGAATTGGAAGTGAACTGCCAAACTGTGACTAGACTGCAGTTTTGAAATATGTGCAAGGCTATGGCCTGAATGCTGAAACCTCCTTTATTTAATGGTTCTTTAATAATATGTGGAGTCCTATGGGAGAAAAAGAGCACTTTTGCTTAAAGGCCTCTTTATATCCCTTAAATTAGATTTGTGCATTCAGGCCTATGTTTCTTACTACTTAGCCCATCCAACACCATGCACCAGTATTCACAAACAGGCTTCCCATGCATGAATATCAGGGAATAGATTGTGGGGTGGATGAGACAGACTCTCATCCCAGAAAGTACACCTATCCACATCAACCAGAAGTCATGATGCTTGCAATTTGCTCAAGTTTCATTCAGCATGTGCTCAGATGCAAGCTGCTGTGCTTAGGTCTTTTCTTTTGCATCAGTTCATTTCTATCTTCCTTGAAAGTCAGATTCTGCAGGAGGCCCACTAAAACAATGAAAATATTGCCAATTTAAGTCTAATTGCAAAGTGACAGGTACAGAAAATATAGCTAAGGTTACTGGGGCAGTTACAGCACTTGCTGGATAGAAAAATATCCAGAAAGATGAGCTCAGTTTAGTAATTTACCTCTCCTGATGCCAACTGCATGTATTACTTCAAGTGAAGTGACACTTGGGCTTATTATAGCTGGAGGATTGGAGCCTTACCATCAACAGGAAATTAGCATATATGCCTGAAACAAAATAACAGGGTGGAGAAGGGGATCCAACATAAGTCAGTAATGTGAAGAAAGGATTCATCTTCAAAACAGAGCTATTATACATACAAACCTATATCTATGTTTTGTTTTTTGTCAATTTACTCTAGTCTCATAAACCACCAAAATTAAATCTGCCATGTTCATGTTTTCTCAGTTGATCTGTCTCTGGAGGCTGTGATATTCAACATGTACTGCCACTCATTTCATTACTGATGCAAAAGTGAAACTATTCCTTCTCACAATATATGCTCCATGAATAGTATAGTTTTACTACATTGGTGTATTTTAGGGGAGTGGCTGGATTGCTGGTCTCCCTCCCACACCCAACAGCATGGGCAGTCCCATTTTAACTATCCAGTCTTCCTTGGCTTGTGAGACAAAATGTGCCATTGCTTTTCCATCCAACCCCTTAATTCACAAAATTCTCTTCCATGGCTTTCACTTCAAGAGTTTAAAGGGGAGAATGGCATCCAATATTACACTACATACACCTTCACAAGAGTAAGGTCTTGAGCTTAATGAACTTGAAAAGAAGCCAAACTAATGTTTCCAGAAGAGGCTAAGATCAATGCTGGACTAGGTGATGTATCATGCAAACCTTCAATGCATAGTTTCATTCATGGTCTCCAGGTTCCGGTTCAGGAAATTCTCTCCTCATGGTCCATACGATCCAAGTGTGATTTTTAGATGGGTAGGATGAGGAAGCCACAACTCGGTATCCAAGCACTTCTATGGCATTCAGGATCACTACTGGCGGATACTGTGTATAACGTACGATGAGAGAAGAGGAAGATTGTCCGTCGCACTGAAACGTTTTGGTTAATTCGCTCAAATCCTGGGTTTTCAGGCCCCACACGTTGACTTGCCAGGGGGTGTGCGATGCACTCGCACCCTTGTTCTCATCCGGTAGGCCGACGCTCACTGACGACTCGACTATAATGTACGGCATCGCGTCGTCTCTTTCTCGGGAGCGTCCATCTTGGACAGAGTTGCTGGACCCTTAGAATGCCTTTCATATAATTGTCTCTCCTGCTCTCCGTGAAACGTCAGAGCGCATGCGCGACCCTCCTAATGACGAAATTGGACTCATCTTTTCTCCGTCCGAGTAAAATGCAACCAAGCTAAGGATGAACTGGCATCGCGTGATGACAAGACTATGACCATGTTTCGGGATGATCTACGGGTGATCTGAGGCCATGTGTATTCATCGTTTGCGTGCGTAGGCGGCAAAAACCTACAATCTCCCATGTTCGCTCGAGCTTCATAATCATCTCCAAGATTTCAATGTTCAAGGTGGTTTAATGGTATCAAGAGGCGATAACGCCCATTTGGATACCACGTGTCGAGGTCGACCGTTCCTTAATTTTAGGGTAGGCCTACTCCTCTTAAAGCTAAGTTTTTTTTTTTTTAAAGCATATCCTAGTTGCTTGCTGCCTAGTCCCTCAAGTCAACATTGCCCCCCTTCTTGCTTGTCCCTAAAAGTGTGATGGGCTTGAAATATGCCCGAGGGCATGAACCAGCTTTAAAAGGGGTCCGAAGCCGCACTGGAGGGGGGATTCCACGCCAGACAGTTACAAGGACAAGTTGTGTCAGGATTCCACGCCAGACAGTTACACAGGACAGTTGTGTCTGAGGATTCCAGACCGGGCGTACCTCCAGAACAGTTGTGCAGAAGACTAGCACTACGCCCCTTCCAAGACAAGCCTTCCCTTCGTGAGGGGCATACTCGTCCTGACTCCCTTCACTACACACAAGGACGTGAGAAGTGCATTGTCTCCATATTTACTTGATTCTTAATATTGTTAAACTACTCTGTTGATATTATAATATAATAATCAGTGATTAAAAAGGCTCAGGGTGTATAGTGACTGACTTCTGAATCCTTCCTTGTTGTCAAACACTAAGGCCAGGGCCGTTTCTATGGGCGGGCGAAGCGGGCGATCGCCCGGGGCGCCAGCGGGGTAAAGGGGGAGGGAGGGGGGGCGCCATTGGAACTTCTTGCCCTGGGCGCCAACACGCCTAGAAACGGCCCTGACTAAGGCCGTGAAACAGAGAGATCGAGACCGCCTGGGTCCGAATCACCCGCTACCACTGACATCCCCTAACTTTATTGCACAGGGATCGGTATCATATAATAATAAGAAGTTGCCAGCCTCCGAAGAGAAACAGTAACAGCACACACCGAACCTGTGACATTTGCATAACATCCCGTGAATTTTGCGCACTCGTCTCTTCAGTGACCGAGCTTCCGAAGAGCATCACCATCAGCATTTGGGTATTTGGGTATCGAAGAAAATGGAAAATGAAGAATCCCACTTCACTCTGACCCTGAAACCTGCGACCATGGGGAAATTCCTCGGGTTTCGGAAACGAAAGGAGACTTCGGTGGCCAAGCCAGGACCGTAAGGAGGACATGGCACTCGATCCCGGCCCGGTTTGGTGATGGTTAGTGATGTTAGCCTTGCGTGGGCGAGCAACACAGTACTGTAGAAGCGCTCCGTACAAATGGGTTACGACTCTTCTTTTGAGCATTTGGGAGTTCCTCAAAATGTCGGCATGTATTTGCCCCGTCACGTGGAAAACCGAGGCAACAGATGCACCAGAATGACAGCTTCCACGTTCCAAAACATGACGTGGAAACTCTGCGCATCGAGTCAAATCGCGAGAGGAGGGAAAATTGCATGACCTGGCGTCATCGAGAAAATTTCTCAATATTTCCTCATGAAACTGCACTTTTCCTCACTTTTAATAGCCTATGCATTTCGGAATTTCATGCTATCCACCGTCCTTGCATGATCAAAATAAGAAGGATCCATTTTAGAAAATTCCGACTATGGCCTTTTTGTTTTCCAGCCATTTTTTTTTGTTTGAAGCGATCGGCTAGGCACGTGAAATGAAAAACACAATCATCTTCCAGGAATTTATTGGCAGTTAAAAAAAAAGAGCAAACAAAACATTTTTCTTTTTCCAGGTAAGGGGGCAGCAAAGATGATGCAAAATTGTAAAAAAAAAATTATCTCACATGAGGAGGTGGATTAATGATACATAAGTAAAAAAGAATTTCTTGCAGGTGAAGGGGCCGATGATACAAAAAAAAATCCTCAATGGTAAGGAAAGGGATAAACGCTACAAAATATTTACAACAAATATCTAAATATCTACTGACTGACTGACTGACTGACTGACTGAGGCAAAGCGCGCGATAACGAAACGAGCTACCGAGCTACAATGCAAATAATACACATACACAGTTTTCTCATTTTCTCAGACCATACTCCATGGGTGGATGTGTGCACAGGCAGACTTAACAGGAAGTGCGGAAACAACAAATTGTAAACATCGTCCGGCTTATCGCGGTGGCAATTCCAAGTCTCCCTACCATCGGCGCACTTTCCAATTCTTCCTTCCAGGTGCATGTCCGGAAGTGTCAAACCAATTTAACAACAGACCGAAACCGAAGTGAGTTCCTATCAATTCACAATTAAAAATGTTGCAAAGTAGTACGCTATTCAATATTCTAACTTACGGTGTTAGGAGTTAGGAAAGTCTATGGACAGGCAAGAAGCACACTGGGAAGGCGATATTGTGATAATGTCATACAAAACTTAACGTACCAGTGACCGGTGTCAAAACTGTGCGTACTGCTGTCGAGATTCAAATTCCGCTCTCCAAAAGGGACAGCAGAACGTCCTACAATCAATTTCTAACTTACCTGGAGTCAAAACTTAACACACCATCGGTAAAACTCAAAGGACGA